GTGGCTCAGAATTCAGTGTGAGCCTACCTTTTAAAACAAGCTTTGATAAATATCCTTTAACTGCCTGGGGACTCCTTCTAGTGTTAAAATCGGGATTTGTCACAGGGACGCTTCTCCCTTTCCTTCAATTCTTTCTTCTCTAAATCTTGTCTATTGAAAAGGATTATAATTGATAAATAACATTACAAGAGCTCTTGAGGCTTGCCTTTTCTGTGCAGGACTTGGGAGTCCCTGATAAATAAGGGTGGAAAAAAGACAAGTTACTTTAAAGATAAGCTCAGGCTGGACGTTGGGTTTGGCATGTGGTGTGATGCTGGCTCCCTTGACGAGCCTGTAAAGGGCCATGAGCTCTGTGAATGAAGACTCTTCTTTTTGCCCTTGCTGGTAGCTGCCATAGCCCTTGCTGTTCCTGAGTCTGCTGTAAATTAGTCAGTACCAGGGGAGTGAAGCAGAGCTGATGGCTATAAAAAAGCCTGGAAATCTGAAATTCACCCCCAGTGTTGTTTGCAGCCTTTTCTTGAGCACCTGTGGCTGGAGATAACCAGGGCTTAGTCTGCAGCAGCTCAGCCCATCTGCCTCCCGCTTCCCAGCAGCTTTGTGCTGCATTGCTCAGGTGATTTTTTTTCTCTGGGCGTGTTTTAAGGTGCTTGTCAGCCAAATAACCCAGCTGAGAGATGCCTGCAAACCAATGCACGCAGGAGTTGTCTGCTGAGGGTAGTTCCTGGGAGAAGCATGGAGCAAGTGGCCTGTTGATTTCATTGCTGTATCCAAGGAGAGGAGCACAAGGATGTCTTGTGGGAGCGCAGTGTCTGTCATCAAATGAATCGGTTTGACTCAGGAGGTGCAGTGGCTGCAGTCGTGTTCTGTGGGACAAGCTCTGCAGGCTGGGCCTGCAGCTGCAGCAGCTCTCCAGGTTCTTGCTTGCACTACAAACAGTGCAGTTTGTAGGTGTCTCTGAAGTGCAAACACATCCGCACCTTGTCCAGTGTCCCTGTGCTCTGTGTGAAGAGCAGCTTTGGAGAGTGGGAGCTGCTTTTTCTTTCCTGTTACAAGGTGAGCCACAATTTTGCTTCCTTTGCTGATACTTGTGTTGCCAAAGCAGGCAAAGTATTCAGCTGTCCTTGTTCGTGTGTCAGAGGTGCTCTTGTGACATCCCTCTCTTGCTGTTGGGTTGCAGAGGCTTGGCATGAGATGGAGATTGAATTTTGGTAGGTGCTGTGGATGTGCAGATGAGATGCAATCTTTCCAAACAGCTTTCTCAACAGAAGAGAGTGGCACTAAGAGAGCAGAAGTAGCATGCGTTAGTCCTGTAGAAGGCTGTTTTGCAAGGAGCCAAGTGGTGTTCCTGTGGGCAGCCTGAGGTCTAATCCACTTTTCTGACCCCCCCAGGTGGTTCTTGGCTGTGATGCCACTGAGAGATGAGCCTGAGCTAAGGGCCAAGTTGTCAGCTTTTGTAGCTGTCCTCTTGCCACTGCAGTATTGCTTCCAGAGCTCTGCGGGTGTGAACTTCAGCTCTTCGTTCGTGTAATCCTTGAACTTTAATAGTGCATTTAACAGCTCCACTGGGAATGTCGTAGCAGTGTTCCTCGCTGCCAGGCAGGCTTTCTGTTTGTTATTATTGTCTTCTTAAAGTTTGTGCCTTTCATTGATTAGAAAGCCCTGGAACTTTTGATGGATGGGGCCATGAGAAGGCGAGGGTTTCCTCCTGTCTGGTGTCTGGGAGGTTAACTAGGAAAGATGTTCAGGCAGAACTGGGATATTCTGGGTGTCATTTTCCTTCTGGGAGTAGAAACTTCTTGGGAAGGTGATTTTTTTAGCCAAGGCACATAAATGTATCGAGCCATGCGGCTAAAAATGATCCATTCAGTTAGCTTAAAGAATCCTACTTTGTATGGGGTTTAGGTCTTCCTTTTTTTGTTTTTTCTTCACCTCTGCAATATTATTTTGAAGAGTATTTGATGTAATAAAATGGAAAACACATGGATATAATGGGCACCTTAGCATCCTGGAGCGAGCACATCAGAGGGGAGAAGTGGCAGTTGTATGTGCTGTGGGTCAGATTTGGATGTGGCAGAGGATGAGTTTCATAGGTATATTTGTGGGAAATCTTTTGAAACGCTTGAACTGAGATTTGTCAGAGGGGCAGCAACACCTCTGCCTTGGCATAGAATCACAGAGTGGTTTGGGTTGGAAGGGACCTTAAAGCTTGTCCAGTCCCAACCTCTGCCACAGGCAGGGACACCTTCCACTAGAGCAGCTTGCTCCAAGCCCCTGTGTCCAACCTGGCCTTGAACACTGCCAGGGATGGGGCAGCCATGGCTTCTCTGGGCACCCTGTGCCAGCGCCTCAGCACCCTCACAGGGATAAGCCTAAGAGCTTATCTCAATCTCCCTTCTGGCAGGTTAAAGCCATTCCCCTTGTCCTGTCCTACAGGCCCTTGTCCAAAGCCCCTCTCCAGGTTTCCTGTAGCCTCTTAGGCATTGGAGCTGCTCTAAGGTCTCCCCTTCAGGAGCCTTCTCTTGTCCAGACTGAACCAGCCTGGCTCCAGAGCAGAGCTGCTCCAGGCCTCGCAGCATTTCCATGGCCTCCTCTGCCCTCTCTCCAGCATCTCCAAGTCCCTCTTGTGCTGTTGCCCCAGAGCTGGATCAGGACTGTGGGGGGGTGTCTCCCCAGAGCACAGCAGAGGGGGAGAATCCCCTCTCTTGACTTGTTGCTCACACTCTGGGGGTGCAGCCCAGCACACGGGGGGGTTCTGGGCTCAAGCGCCCACTGGAGCTTCTTGTAGACCAAGAGCCCCATGTGCTTCTTCTCAGGGCTACTTTCAATCCATTCTCCCCCAGTCTGTGTTTGTGCCTGGAATTGCCCCAGCCCGCGTGCACATCCTTGCCCTTGGCCTTGCTGAGCTTCATACGGCTCTCACAGAATGCTGAGGTCCTTGCCTGTGTCTGTGCCCTGTGTCAGACATCCTCTGCTCTTGACCCATCCAAAATAGGCTTCTGCTTTCACTATGTGCTGCTGCTGCCTGTTGCTCTGCCTGTATGGCAGTGAAAGGGAAGAGGTGGGATTTTTGCCTTCACGTGTAGAGGAGGTGATCATAAGTCCTTAGACTTGAGGCTCAGTTGCTTTTACTCAGGTCTGCTTCTATGGCAGTAGGAAAGCCCCTTCCTGCAGCCTGTAGCAGGAGCTGTGCTGAGCCTGGAGGTACCATTGGAGTGTATCCCCATGTTTTCTCATCTTTTGTCAGTGCAGACCAGAGGATGATGAGTTTCTTGGTTTTGTGGGATTTCCAGGGCCTGAGAAGCTGGCTTTTATCACTGCTTGCTTGATTTGTTGTGGAAAGACTGTCATTTGTCTTGGATTTGCTGCAGGACTTTCTGCTAAATCCCCAGGACTTGAGAAGTTTGCTCTGTGGAAAATTAACTCTGCTCTCACCACTCAAACCCTAAATAATAGCTATGAAAGGTTTATTGATCAAGTAAGTAAATCTCCCAGGGTGTGACTTCTATTTCCCACAAGAAATACCTGAAGCCAGTCACTTGCCAAACTGAACAAGTGAGGTGGTGCAGCTCAGAGAAAAACAACTGGTTATTTTCCTTACAGGCTTTCCATCGGGCCTGGGGAGGGGAATTGTCATCCCTGTGAGGAAAAATGAGTATTGAAAAGTGTTTCTGCCCTGCCAGAAAGGCAGTTTTCCTTGTTCTTCCGTTCAGATGCTTTCCTCAGACACTGCTGTAAGAGGCACTAGAGGCAAAGCCTTGATATTCAGACAGACCTTTCCTGTATCGGAAGGCTGTCTTGGGCAGGATGTTTCTTTTGTACTTAAGTCAATCCCTGCCTTTTTAATACTATGATGGCAGGGGGTTGGAACCAGATGTAACGCTCTTTAAGGTCCCTTCCAACAGAAACCATTGTATGATATGATTCTGTGTGCTCCGTAACGCAGCTTTGGTTCTTCGGGGAGAACTAACCTGGCATGAGAGTGTAGATCAGACAGGCCAGGATGTGTCCACTTCTAAATCCTGCATAGCGTTTTGCTCAGAGCAGCTCTCAAATCTGTGCTCAGATGGTGCCTGTCTTTTCCTGTTGAATGGCTGGGCCTAGTTCTGGGTTGAATGGTAGCCTGTGGGAGGAGAAGCTCTTTGTTTGATACTTAATAGTAAAAAGATGAAGATTTTATCTCCTTGCTTCCTTCCTTATGTGTGGGCCCAGTGCAAACCTCATGAGGTTGGGCAAGGGCAAGGTCCTGCATCTGGGACAGCTCAATCCCAAGCACAACCACAGGCTGGGCAGAATGGATGGAGCAGCCGTGAAGAGAAGCACTTGGGGCTTTTGGGTGACAAGAAGCTCCCCATGATCCAGCTTCAGTGTGCTCTTGAGCCCAGATCCCCCCTGTGTCCTGGGCTGCACCCCTAGACCCTTGTCACTCCAGGCAATGTTTTGCTCCCTCTGGTTTGTGCTCTGTGGAGAGATGAGGTTATTGTGCAGCCATGAAACACCTGGGCTTCAACCCTGGGGGTCCCACTCAGGGGATCCAATCCCACATGAGATTCGAACAGCTTGTTTCTTAAAATGCCCTAGAGATTGTTATTAAATCACAGAATCGCACACTGGTTTGGGTCGAAAGGGACTTTAAAGCTCATCTAGTTCCACCCCACCTACCTTCCACTAGCCTAGCTTGCTTGAAGCTGGTTGCTGTGTTAGTAGAACAAGTCCACCTGGTTTCTGGTGTGGTGATTTATTTATTTATTTATTTATTAGTATATTTTCTGTCTTAAATCTAAAACTGAAAGGTGAGAGTCCAATGGGAAGAGGGGTAAAAAGCAGAATGACAGGAATGCAAGAATTAATGCGTGGACACTCGTGTCAGTTTTAAGCTCAGCAGGTCTGTGGCTGAACTGTGCCCCAGCATTTAAACTGTGATGCTTGGATCTAAATGGTTGTAATTCCTTGTCTTGAAACAGAGAGAAGGTGAGCTCGAGGAAGGAGGTGTTGGAATGAGCTTGACTCAAGAGAACGCTGGGAGGAAGGAGGAGGGTGGGAAGCGAGAGATGATAAGCCCAGCTCTGAGAGAAGCGCTCACAAAACAAGGTGAGGTTCTGCAAAGAGCAGATGGTGGCCCAGGCTTTGAAGTCTTAGTGGTGGACTTTTAGCAAGCCAAGTGACAGGCGGTGTTCTTTGTTAGAGGTGCTGCTGTGGACCCTCAGTCATGGCAGGCTCTGAGCAGGGGCAGGACAGGGCTTAGGCAGGGGCTGTTGGTACCTTATCCTTGCAGGGAAGGAGCCTGAAGCTGGGTAATACATCTGAGTGTGATGCACTCTGAGTGTGGTGAGTGTTTCAGAGTTCAAAGGGTTTAATGCAGCTGCTAAGCAGCGTGGGGGAGAAGATGATGGTCCCCATGCCTTCAGCTCCAAAAGCGTGTGTTCCTCAAAAAATACTTAAAGATCGGCTGTGCCCCTGCTTTTACTTCTGTTTCAAACTCTGATTTTGTTACTGAAACTTTGTTTCCAGAGAAGAAGGTAGTTCAAATGAGCTTTACCAATCCAGTGCTGATCAGATGAGTGGCCTTTGAACAAGCTGTAGAGAACTTAATGGCCTTTTCAAAACAAAGGAGGACAAGCTTGAGAAGAGCTGGACTGAGGGCCCTGCAGTTCAGAAGCCTCAGTTCTGAGTGGCAGATCCAGCAGAAGGGTGATGGCAGCTTCTGTTCAGCTGGAGACTGAAGGCAGTTTAGTTTAATGTCTTTTCTTTCTTAGGATGAGAATGCGTTCAGTTTTTCTTGCTTGCTAAATCAGTAGAATGTCCCCTGATGCTGCTGAGAGCACAGTTCTGTTATTGCAGTGGAGGCACCTTGCTTCAGAGCTGGGCTCTGATTTTCCATGTCCTGTGTGAGTCCAGCAGCTGTGGGATCCCAACACCTTTGCTCCCCAAGATTGGAGCCTGAGCTTTTGTAAGTGACTGGTGATGTGTTTGCCCATGGTCATTGGAGTGGGCTGCTGGAGACAGGGCTGTCTAGAACTGGACAGTGGGGAGGGAAGTTCTCTTGTCTTGCAGCAAGTCCCCCGCTTCAGAAGCTGGAGCGGCACCAAGTCCTCCAGGCAGCTCAGGTGTTGCTTTGACACACAGGGACCTGAGGTGGGCTGGGGAGACTGCCCTGGCTGTTCTGTGGTGCAGGGCCTGTGCTGGCTCTTTGCGCCGTGGCAGTCACAGGGGTGTTTCACACTGGTTCACTTTCTGATCCCGTCTGTGTTGGTTTGGTTTTGGGCAGTGAATGAAACTGTGCTTTTCTTATGGTCTGCAGAAGTGGCCACTTGAAGAATGAAATGCTGTAATGTTTTTGACTGCAGTCTTGTCTCATGTCTTCTGTCCCGCTTTGAGTTAACGGAAGCAAGTCCTTCCGCAAATCACAAGGCTTTTGTGCTTTTTAAAAGCATTTTCTTGAAGTCTGAGCAGAGCTAGGAATGAAGCTGGGTGTTTCTCCATCATGCTTGGGCAATCTGAAAAATTCCAGTGCCCAGATTCCACTTCTTTCTATATTTGTATAAAATAGTGATATAGTTTGAAGGGGTTCCTTTCAACAACAGTATTTCTTGTTTTCTTTTCCTTACTGATTTTCTAGCTTTAGCAGAACACTGCCTTTTGGGTGGTGGTTCTAGTGTAGGAGTTGTGCTACCACTTGCAAAATGCACCTTAAATCAGTGGTGATGGGTTACTGCTGTGTGTCAGTGACTTCAGCTCAGGCCCTTTTAAACTGCATTCTTGCAGAAAACTGGGATCTTTTTTGCCTGTAAAGAGTTTCCTAGTGTGAAGTTCCCCTTTCTGCACCGAGTTTCAGCTTCCACAAATAATCAGTGCTTCAAACAAGGCAGCTTTTATTTAAGGCGATGGCTTGATAGAACCACACTGATTTGCCAGCTCTGTGTTACTTGGAGGAAAAGCCTTCTGAAAGTCATTTGAGTTTGTGAAGACAATGTGACACCAGACTGGCTTTCACCAGGCTAATGGTGACTGCACTCTTAGAGGAGGATGGGTAAGTCTCTTTTCTTGTACTCTTTGAGGATTTTTTTTTAACCACTCCTCTACTTCCTTCTTTTATAATTAAATCTTTTGCTCTGTGCTTTCAAAGGCTTGCCTGTAAAGCAGCTTTTGGTGGTGTAGAGATCTGAACTGGAAAGTGTCTCTGGGTTTCTTTCTGGACATTTTGCCACAATCAAATAGTCAGCAGTCCTCAAAAGCAGTTCCCAAGTTGTACTTGTAGAAATTTGACTTATCTGTTCCGCTTGAAAAACTAAAATAGCGTAATAGCTCGCATATGCACAAAATTCATACGTATTCAGGAGCTTAGAAGGACATGCTATGGGTATGGTACTGGTAAGCGATCAAAACCAGAATACCTTGGATAGCCTGGAACACGACACGGGTATGTAGCTGGCAGTATCCTACCTCTGTGGCTGAGAGTACTGCAGGGTCCCTCAATGAATTCTTTGAATTTCAGTGAAAGGACTTTTAAAGGACTGGTATTTAGGGACTGTTATTTCCAATACAGAGTTGAAATGCTGCGATGCAGTTTCAATGGTCACAGAAATGTTTTGCCCCATACCAGGGAGCAGTCAGCATCTGTGGTGCTGGCAGTCTCTTCAGTTCAAAATCTGCCCATGGCTTATTAAAGTCCAGTTGGATTGTCAGGGCCAGCAATCACCAAATGTTTATCAGCTTAGTGTTACTGCATGATAACACTCCCTTCACCCAAAATCTTAATTCATGTCTTCTTGTAGTAAATAAAATGACAACTTTGGTGAAGCTTGGCAGACTTCTAAGTCATTCAGAGTTTATCATCTAGAGCAGGATCAACTAATATGCAGACTTAGATAAGACTTTAGTCAGGGCTTGAGCTGATTACTGTCAGCCTGCTTATAATTTAAGTATTCCTTTGAATATTGGGCTTTAGAAACAATAAGTGGATTGTGTTTGTTCAGCCTTAATATCTGAAGGTGCATCAGGACGGTGAGCAGAGTCCCATGGAGACAACAGTCTGTATTGTTTGGAGGGTGTTGTATCCAAATACTCAGAGTGATTGCTTATGAGTAATGCCTTAAGAGCAGAGAAGTGAACGTGTTCATGGGGAGTCCTGGCAGGTTCAGAGTTCTGGACCATTGTTAAGGTTTGATTTTTTTTTTTTTTTCCCCATCATTTCCCTTGGCAGAGCCCCGGTGAAGTTGTGGCAAAGGTGGTGGAAGAGATGAGCTGGCCTGAGCTTTCGCAAGGGTTGTTCAGCAGAAGCTGAACAGAACTGAGAAGGCCCTCAGACTGATTCTTGGACACGCGTCCTCACATGTTTGGTTTGGAACTTAGCACTGCTTGGTCTCGCTTCAACCTTTTACTTTCTTTGAGCCCAGACTGCCCTGGCTGCCTGTGTTGCAAGCCAGCCGTAAAGCAACTGCTTGAAGAAAGAGGCTCTGCAGAGCTGGAGAGACTCTGCTCCCTTAGAGCAGATGTGTAACAACTGTTCTGATTGATTTAATTTATCTAACTTCCAAGTCTGAAGACGCATGGGGTGGCCAGTGCTGACTGTGGTGGCTTAGCAGGGTCACCACCCTTTCTGTCAGTTACCTCCATGGTGAAGGCCCAAGTTCAACGGCTTTGCACAGTGGTTTTGAAGTTCTGCAAGTATGTGCTGTTTCTTCTTGTAACCATAGCTGAGACTCCTGGCAGCAGCAAGCAAAATGAGTAAACCCCTTCTCGTCACTAAAGCTGGCTGAAGTTTGTAAGACTCTGTTTTGATATTGAATAGGTCCAATTTTCTTGGCCTTCAGAGGAAGCTGTGGGCTCTCCACATGGTGGAAGTTGATTTAAGTAACTAAAGAGCTTGACACCTTGCTCAGTTTAGCTGCTTCATCTCTTCCGTCATACAACTGGGTAGCAGATCTGGGTGAGCATGTCCTGTTTCCAATTTAATTTTAACCTAAACCCCATTTTAAAGCAGTCGTCTTACTTCTACTGACAAGAGATCTGTGAGAGAATGATCTTACATGAATGCTGTTGCTGATTCTGAAAAGTGAACAAATAAGGCTGGGGCTGTGCTGGTTGCCATCAGCAAGGAGCCTGCCTTGGGCAGCTGTAGTAGAGGGAGCAGGAATGCAGCATCCTTTTCACATTTGGCTTTTGAGACTATAAATTCCCTATTAGAAGTGCTGATGTCTTTCTCCAGGAGAGGACTGAATGATGGGCCATATGGAATACCAAGGCTGGTTTTGGCTTGCAGTAGTTCTTTCTTCCATGCTGTATAGGGCTTTATTCATTTAGGGAGGAAAAGGCTGGAATATTGTCTATTCCCACGGAGCTGGATGGGGAGAAGGATCTCAGGACATAGGAGCAGCCTGACACTGATGTCCCCAAAGCCCTGCTTAATGGGGCAGGGGAGCCCCACTGCTTGCTCCTGCAGCCACTCCCCCTGTGCTGTCCATACAGTCTCCTGGAGAGTTGCTTCGGGGGACTGGTCAGGCTAAAATTGCCTCTGTCCTAACCCCTGCAAGGATAGAACCAGTGTGAGGAGACAGGAGTGTCCTCAGCCATGCAGACATCTTCATCTTCACACAGTTTAATTTTGAGCTGGTGCAGCTCTCACTGTAGTTCATGGCTTAGTGTCCTCGGAGCTGTGGGGGACTTTGGGGAGCAGTCACGCTCCCCTGGGACCTCACCATGCAAGAGACACATGGTGACATATGAGCAGGCTCACTGTGCTACTTGCTGTAGGAGATGATGGGCAGTTCTGGTGAGCAGAAGGCTTTTTTCCCCTGTTAATTTCATGCTGCTTGGCAGGAAGGAGACTTGATACCTAGAAGTCGATTTTTCTCTTGAAAGCGTTAATATAAATGTCAGCCTAAAGCTGTCAGTTGAGATGTGCTGGTTTGGGGACAGCCAGGCCATCGACGTGTAAGTGCTGCAGTGGGAATGACACAGTCAGGCTGCTCAGATCCCTCTTATTTTTATGCTGGTTTTTGAAGTGACTTTTAATCCTTCAGATGACACAGTCAGGCTGCTCAAACCCCTCTTATTTTTATGCTGGTTTTTGAAGTGACTTTTAATCCTTCAGACATATTGGTCCCTAGGCACGTTTTTCAAAGAGAAAAAGAACCCAACTCAAGCAGTTTGGGTAGTAATAGTGCTTAGTGCTTAACAAATGCTGTGGAATTAATCTTCCTGGGCTAATAAGTTGAAATGAAATTGTATTGATCTTGGTTGAGGAGCAGGGAAGTGATGCGAAATCAGCTTTCCTCTGGGCATAACGCAACAGCTCCCTCTCTGCAGCTCCTTCAAGGGCAGTGGAGGTGGAACTGGTGAACCTGTGAAGTCTGGGTTCAAGCTGAGCCCTGCATTGTGGTTCATTGCCTCTGCCCTCCCTGCTGAATCAGATGTCCTCCAGGCTGGTCAGACCTACCAAGAAGCAGTGGGAATTAGGTCTCTGTGGTTCTGGGGAACAGTCTGTTCTGGGATGGTGGCTTAGGGATGGGGGGAGACGCTTCTGGTTCCCTGTCCTGGTCCTTCCCATATCCTAACCCCCTGGGGTCAGCGAGGTGTTCCACGTTCCGCTAAGAGGCTAGACCTGTTAGTCTGCCTTCCTGTCACATGGAGAAGTCTTCTGGCCACCCTCTGTTGATTCAAGCAAGACAGAGCAATATAACTAAATATGCGGTGAGGAGAAAGTGTTCCAAGTTGTCTGAAGCCCTTTGGGCAGCCATGGCCTTTGCTCCCCTGTGCTCCCAGAAGGAAATGGAAAATACTGTGAGTGGGCACTGGGTAGCATCACCTTGGGCCAATGGGAAAGAGCGGTGCTGAGACTGCGATGCTGAATAATTTGGTGTACCAATTGGCATGTTTTGTGTTTGAGTTATTGCAGGTTCCAATCAATAGTTTGATTATTGTTTTGTTGGTTTCCAGGTTACAAGCTGATTGGGAGCCATTCTGGGGTGAAGCTCTGCCGATGGACAAAGGTAAATGCTCTCTTTCCTTCTTTCACTTTCTAAATTGAAATTAAAAAAGTAGACACTTACTCAGGTAGTACAATTTCCAAATGAAATATTGTTTAAAAAAAGCAGTATTACATTAATGAAACCAAATTTCATCTTCCAAGCTGTAGTTTTACATTTCAAGCTATTAAAATCCTGCTGCGAAGAGTGAGCATGTGGCTGTGGCCAAGAGCTGGGGATATAATTTTCTGTTGTTTTTTTCCTGTTATTCTGCTGTCTGCTAAAGTAACTCCTGCCTCCTGAGGTACACAGCAGGAGCAGAACACCACACAGAAGTGGGAAGGTTTCATCACCACTGTGAGGTCCCTGAAACAAAGATGCTGCAGTCTGTCATTCCCCTGGAATGGGCACACGAGGGCATTTGAACCTGTTGTTGTGGGACTGTGACCACAGTCTAGTGGGGATGGGATGGAGCAGCCCTGAGGAAAAGGACTTGGGGATTTGGGTGACGAGAAGCTCCCCATGACCTGGCTTCAGTGTGTGCTTGAGCCCAGAACCCTCCTGTGTGCTGGGCTGCATCCCCAGGGCGTGAGGAGCTAAAGCAGGAATTGAATGTCAAGTGCTCTAGACACTGACATTGGTTACAGGCAGTGGCTTTGACTCAGATTCACACCAATATGTGAGTATCTTCAGGAGGTTTGTTTGGGGTTTGTATGGGGTGAAAGCAGGAGCGGGGCTGGAAGCATTAGTTTTGAGTTTCATAGTGGTAGCTCAGATTAAAAAGATTGTGTTCTGTCATATGCTGGGAAACAGCCTAAAAGCTGCAAATTTTAGGGTGAGTGTTGATTTGCCTGTTTGACGAAATCCAGAATCTCATAGAATCGTAGAGTGGTTTGGGTTGGAAGGGACCTTAAGGCTCATCCAGCTGCAACTCCCCGCTATGGGCAGGGACACCTTCCACTAGAGCAGGTTCCTCCAAGCCCTGTCCAACCTGACCTTGGTCTCCTCGAATCTGTGAATCTCCTGAAGTCTCTGTTGTTTGAGGAATGGGTGGAATAAGCAGCATTTCCCATTTTGTTTAATTTTCCATCTGCACAGCAAGGCTGTGCATCTGTCAGGGGTCACCTGCGTGTTCTTTCCCCACTGCTCAGTGAAGACTTCCCTTTGGATCACCAGGACTCCTCAGGTGGAGGAAGGTAGATTGAAAGGTACCATTGTCACATTTTGGCAGGGGCTTGGAACTGGATGAGCTTTAAGGTCCCTTTCAACCCAAAGCAGTCCGTGATTCCATGATCTGTGTGCTATGGACTTCTTCCCCCAGGGTGCATCTGTCATCATTCTGAGCTGCTCTGCGACGTGCTCTTGCTTGCACTGTGTGTCCCAGGTGACTTTGGACACCCAGGTTTTTAGTGACTGAAAACTGCAGATGTGCTTGGGGAGCAGATTTAAAGCTCTGCACTCAGCTTAATGTTCTTGGAATTTGTTTGTGTCTTTCTCTGCTGTTAGTCGATGCTCCGAGGCCGAGGAGGATGGGTGTGGGATGGTCAGATGCGAGCTGGGTGGCTGGGCTCCACATCTGGGAGGCTGAGGAGGTGCTACCTTCCCTAGAGCTGTGTCCTCTGTCAGACTGGCTGAGAACCAGTGAAGGAGGAATTGGGGATGCAGGAGACACACACCTCTCCGTGTACTGCTCTGCAATTCCCACTTGGTAGAGGTTTGGTTCCCTCTGGAGATCATTGTCTGAGATTCCATGTGGCTCCTGGTGCTCTAGAGAGCATGGGCTGGCCCATCTTGTGCAAAGCCACCAAGGTGCAAAGCAACATGAGTATCTTTGGTTTGAAATTGGACCGTTTTTCTTACTTCAGGTACCTTCATCCCCACCAATTCAGCTGCAGTCTCAGCGAGTGAAAAGTGATGACTTGGTAACTGTTGCCTTCCTAAAGCAGTCTCTCCTAGATGACTTTCCATTCTAGTCAGTAAAGTGACCCCTCTTCTTAGGGGAATGACTGTGTTAGTTCTCTAAAGGCAATGAGCTCTGCCTGGATGGGAGCGGCGAGCAGCTCCAGCGGTGCTCACTCACTGGGCTGCCAAGGGAGGGTTTTGCCAGGCTGGGAGAGCGCAGGATGGGGTTGGTGAGAGACACTCAGCAAAACCAAACTCAGTGACGTGAAAGTGCGCTGAGTGGGAGGACGTGGAGGTTATTCTCTGAGCTCTTTTGTCTTGCCAGCTAACTCATACGATGGGGCTTTTGCTTCCTCTGGTATTCACGCCTTCCCCAGGGACCTGGTTGCCAGAAATACCCATTCCATCCCAAAGAATGAGTGTGCATGCAATCCCAGGCAAATTCCTCCTGAACCCCACTTTTTCTGTTTCATAGTCCTCAAGTTTTAACAATGGAAATACTTCATGAGGGTATTGAAATGGCAGCATTAGTGCAGAAGGACTGCTAGAATTTTGGAGACAATTTTGGAGAAGCTGTGTCCCATGTTAGTGTTAGGTGTAAGCATTAGACACTGGTCATCCTCTGAAGTTTGTATTCTGAAATGTTAATTGGGGCTTTTGATGGGCTTTCATCGTATCCTGGTTTGAACAAACACAGCAAATAGCAAGTTTAATGTGCAACTTTTGCTGCTTTTCTTCAGAGCAATTTAATGGCTGGGAAGGAAAACGTACTGCTTGTGTCTTTTGTCTTCCTTTTTTTTCATGTATCAGCTAGCAGTGGTGCATTTAATTCTGCAGTGGTGACTGGACTGGTAGGGAGAGGATTGCCATGCATTTTGTCCCTCTGTCCCTCCACAGCAGGTACATCATAAACAGCAAATAGAAAGCAATAGCGTTGTCAGAGCAAGGAATTTTGCTCCTGATGTTGCACTGCAGGCCATTTAACACTGTTCCCCTCAAAATGACCCACTCGGTATTACTTGGCAGCAGCAGCAGCCTGTGTCTGGAGTACGGGGCTGAACCAAGGAAGTCAGACAAGTGTCAATTGAACAGTGGAGTAGCTGGGATAAATCTCCATGCATGATACCTTCCAGGTGCCTCTGCCTCATCATCCCCTAACTGTCATTGGTCACTTTTAAGAGGAAATGTGGAAACAGTAGCCCTAATGATAATGAAAGCTGGAATGCTTCTTTAACTAATGGCAACAACCTGTATGAGTGAAACAGCTTTGCAGGGGACTGGGCTGAAAAATATTCTCATTTATTTACCTCGTGTGAAACGGGTTGCAATTGTTTTTCTTCCATATGGACTGCAGCTGTTTGCTCTTCTCGGACCTCTGTTGAGTTGGAAGACTTAAGGCTCAGTTTGAGACACATCCCAAGGCTCGCTTGATGTACACCTTAGGCTTGGCATAAATTGTAAACCCATAGATGGTTTGTCTTGGAAGGAACCTTAAAGCTCGTCCAGTTCCAACGCCCTGCCACAGGCAGAGACACCTTCCGCTAGAGGAGATTGCTCCAAGCCCTTCCAGCCTGGCCTTGAAGACTGCCAGGGATGGGGCAGCCACAGCTTCTCTGGGCAGCCTGTGCCAGTGCCTCACCACCCTCACAGGGAAGAACTGCTTAACATCTCAGCTCAATGCCTTAGGACCTTTCTTTTCTAGTGATATGTATAGCTGTGTTCTCAAATGGAGGTAGAACCTCTTCTTTCTTTGCAGAGGTCTTTCTTGCTGTAGAGCATCGTTTTGGCTTAAAGACCTTTTACCTGTGATTCAAGATAGGTATATCAAGTTTCATATAAACTGTGAGGTCCATTCTTCCTTCTGGGGGAACCAGAGCCTAGGTGTTCAGAGACGACATATGAAAGCTGTGTCAGAAGCAGGGTATTACTGAGAATTTCTTGTTGCCTTTAATATTATTAAACTGTGTCTAAGTCCCTAAGGTGTCAGATGGGTCCTTCCCATGTGTGTTACAAATAGCAGTGTATAACTCTGTCTGTCTTTTCCTTCAGACATCATACAAATCCAGTGGGCACAGAGTGGCAATGGAAGATGGACCAACCTGAAATGATCTTGCAGGAGGCTATTGAGAACCATCAGAATATGATCAAGCAGTTCAAAGGTAACTTTTCCCATTTCTTCCCTGTGAGTGATGCTTTTGGAAGATAAGCAGCATCAGCATCTTCAAAGCAAATCCCTGGAGGCATTTAAAAAGGTGACACTCAGGGGTGTGGTTTAGTGGTGGACTTGGCAGTGTGGAATTGATGGTCGGGATTGATGAGCTTTTGTAACCTAAATAATTCTATAATTCTATGAATTGCTGGGAAGGAGGCATGAGATTCGTCATAGGAGAAAGAGGTGAGAAGAAACTGTTGTGGCACACCTTGTTTTCTGAGATGTTCTGCCTTTGTTTTGACATTAGAACATGAGTCAGCCATTGGATGTCTACGGCTGCCTTAAGGGATTAGTGTGGAGTTGCTTCTTGTGGGTCTTGGTAATTGTCATATCATTTTATTTGGAGTGCACAGAGGCTTCCACAGTGCTTGAGGCTGGCCTGGGTGGTGAGGAATGTGGATTCTTATGGAAAAGTGTGGGCAGGCAGAAGGCAAAAGGAATCACCCTGTAACCTGTTAGGAAATACACTGCCCAAGCTTAATCCACTGAGAGCTTTGTGTTCGCTCTGAAACTTGGGGATTGTGTTTTTCTCATTAATGGATGAGCACTTTTATTTTCAGGAATTATTGAGGAGATCTGTTTGTGACCGAAGCAGCAGTTACACAGCACCAAGTCCTGCACTTTGCTTCCCATAGGAACTCTTTGTGAGTTTGTTATTTCTTGTAGATTGAGATTAGTGATTAGGCACAAATTCTTCCCTGTGAGGGTGCTGAGGCGCTGGCACAGGGTGCCCAGAGAAGCTGTGGCTGCCCCATCCCTGGCAGTGGTCAAGGCCAGGTTGGATGGGGCTTGGAGCAATCTCCTCTGGTGGAAGGTGTCTCTGCCTGTGGCAGGGGGTTGGAACTGAATGAGCTTTAACCAAATCAGTCTGGGATTCCAAGATTAATTCCACGCAGTGCAGTAAAATTGAGATCTTCTTTGAAGGAATAGAAGTCTTGGGGACCATGTGTCCTGTAGGATATCCTAGAGAGTAGCCTTATGTCCTGTTAAGAACTTCTGTGCATGCTTTTAGAGTTGCCATCTTTATTGTTGCCATCTTTATTGTTGCTATCTTTATTGTTGTCAAAGCGTGCACTGTTTTTGAAGGTGGTGGTTAACATCACATCATTCTTTTAGGCTAATGGCTGGGGAGACATCTTGCTGATAGGGAGCTAAGGTGGAAGAGTGGGAAGCAGTTTATTTGTTGGATGCATTTTGTAGGTAGTGGCTGGTAAATCTCTGTTGCCTTGTGAAGGGCACACACAGAATGGAAATGTAATTCAAAGTTATGAGATGGGCAGTGTCTGATAATACAGCCCTGGTTCCACTTGGGAAAAGTGAAAACCCAAACAAAAATGCATGACCTGAACTAGGAAATCCTAAGGCTACCTGTGTGTGTTGGTGTAAGAGTGGGTAAAACCAGTTCCTTGTCTCCCCAGTCACTTGTGATGGCTGGTACCCGAAGTCACCAACCAGCCTCTCTAGGCAGATGTGCCAGATGCTGCTTTTTTCCCCCAAATGAAAGCACACCAGTAGGAGAGCAGCTGGGATCAGCTCTTCAGAGGAGCTGTGCTGATCAAAGGAGGCATGGCTGCATGCTCTGCTGAGAACTGAGCTTGAGCAGCAGCTGAAAGCTGTACACCATGGCCTCTTGTAGATGGTACTCATGTTCCTATGGCTCCAAGTTCCTGCACTGCCTTGGGCCTGCTTCATGCCCTCCAAAATCTGCCCAGGCTCTGACTTTGCTGAAGTGCATTGACTGAAGACAGGAGGACGCTCATCTGCAGGAGCAGAGGTTGACAGCTGTAGTGGTATGGCAGCCCGAAGTGCAGGGGAGTTCACACACTCCCTGGAATACACACTAATCCTTTTTTAGTTTATCCCTGTCTATCTTGTGATTTGTGTAGTCAAATGATTCCTACAAAACCTCTGCCCTCTCCGCAGTGTATGTCCCCTATGCTACATTTGATGTCAGCTGCTCTGAGAAAGTGACTCAAACTTTACATGTTGTTGGAATTACTTTCTGTCTGCTTCTAAAGCTGGCACAGGGTGATTGTCATCGTCCAGTGGCAGGGTGCTGAGGGAGAGAAATTAATTAAATTCAAAGCCACCTTCAAGTAGCTTTAGGAAAAGGAAAGTTATCCTTTAATCTCAGTGTGTGGTTGAGATGCTGCTTTCTTTTCAAATGAAGGTCTCATTTAGTACTGCAGGTTTGTACAGCATTAACCATTAGTCCTGTCACACTCAGGGCTGAGTGTGGCTGCTTTATCATGCACCAAGTTCTGCTCTTATCACAGACCAGTTTTTCTATGTGAGGCTGAAGCAATATCCACCAACACCTCTTTTTATCTGGGCTTTGGAGCATAGCCTATAGTTTTCTGTACTGCCTGAGCTCCAGCTTCTAGGCAACACAAGGTGAGCTGAGGACCTGGTTTGAAA